TAAGAAGAAAAAAGATGATAGTCTTTTTTGGACCACTATTTAAAAATTTCGAAGAAAATTTACAATTAATAGTGTTTATATTAATCATGAAACTTGGTCTTCTAAATCTCCAATGGTTCTTTACGGTCGATAATCTACTGCTTCTTTAATAGACTGTATAGAAAATATTTATAAATTTTAAAAATGAAGAATTAGATTGATTTTTTTATTAGAGAAAACTCAACAATTCAATTAATAAAATGAAACTAAATACATCACCTGGAGAAGATTTAATACCATTAAAGTTTTTAAAGCTTCTTCCTCCATTAGGAAAACCCACACAAACGGCCGTATATTTGAAACCCACACACGCTCCTTTATACATACCTTCATGGTCGAAAGACCCGTATAAATATAAATAAACTGCGTTTAAGGCACTTATCAAAAGGGCCTTCTTGTACTGCACCAATGTGCAAGACCGCAACAAGAAAACTGATAGAATTCAAAAGGTAGCAAGAAGTTTAGATTACAAAATGTCCACAATCAGAGGCCTTATCAAGAGCTACGGTAAACAAAAAACTACAACTACAACGTATTCAACAAGTTCACATACAATGAACAAACAAGGAAAGTAGCGAATGAGTTGGGAAAATACAAAACCGTAAAGATAATTTACAAACGAGCACCCAATATATATATATATATATATATTATTAAGGAACGATAAGGACAAAATTAGAACGGAAGAGCAAGCGGGGGGTGTACNAATTTACAAACGAGCACCCAATATATATATATTATTAAGGAACGATAAGGACAAAATTAGAACGGAAGAGCAAGCGGGGGGTGTACAGTATCCCTTTTGAGAACCAACAATTAGGAATTGATAGAGAGTATATAGGGGTGACCAGAATAAACCTTACGGTACATGTAAAGGAAGACGAATAATAAAGTTAATGTTAATAAAGGACTCAATAGCACGATATTGGCAAGTATGGCACAGTAAGACGGAGCAGTAGTCAAATGGGATGAAGCGAAGATCTTAGAACGGGGCACTCACCGTCCATCGCGATGGAAATGGAAAAAATAGAGATTTACAAAAGTAAAATTAGGGCCCGATGCCTAAATGCAAAAGATGCAAATACATTACCAACGGCTTGGAAAAACAAAATTGAAAAAAGCATGGGTTTTAATAATCCATAAAACTATGATCTGGAGATTAGTCAGGAATTAGTATTTGGACTCATTTAAATTTGATATAATTTTTGTTTTTTGTTTTTGTTATTTGTTAAGCTGCAAAGCGTTTTGATATTATTTTAGTTAGCTACCCTGTATTTATTTACTCTTGTATATACATAAGTTGTTAAATTGTTCAAATTCAAATGAAATAAATTCGAACAAATTAGTTCCATTTGGAACGATGAATGTAAAAGCCTGAAGATGGCCTATCTAGATAGGCTGAAAACGTTCGGAATAAAGAAAAAACTCGGCAAATAGAAATCAGGTGTGTTTCTTAGTATAAGTAACTAATATTGCTGAGAAGAAGATAGATATTCATAAATAGTAAAATCAAAATTCTAAGCATATATAGACTCTGAAAATGAAAATTGACCAAATAAATCTATTGATCATTAACATTATTTATAAGCTTAACTTAACCGAAAATGGTTAAAAATTCCGTTTCGGTTTCTAATTCTGCTACAAAATCCAACTTACCTGTCTATGAAAAATGTAACGATACCATGTACTGTAGTCTACTTTGCGGCATCTATTTGCGATATCAAAGAGAGGAGATCTTAGTCCATAATCAAAGCAAAATATCTTTATTTTCACCTGTACACTCTGTGTGTTTCGGACCTGAAGTCAACTCATCAGCAGGTTTACATTCTATAACAATTGCATAAAAAGTTTTTTTTAAAAACAATGGCATTACACCCGACAATATGTTCCTTTATACACATTTTATGTTTTCGTGTGTATTGCCAATAGGATCGGACTGACTTAATGACGATTTTACTTGTTATTATCATTTGCCGGGAAAGTTAAGCAACTCGTTGCTGGATTTTTGCATAATCAAAAACAAAATGGCTAGAACATTGAACAATGTATTGAAATATTTTACTTATTACTTAGGAAACAATTCGAAGGAGACTATATTAGGAGAATACTATATTAAATAGTATTAAATATTTCAAGTAACGTAATTATTCGGATTGATTAAATAGAGTTATTATGGAATAATTACAGAATAGTTTGATAATTATTTCCTAAACTTCCCAATAGACAGATACATTCGATGAAAATGCTACACAGACTGGAAGGCTTCAATTTGTATATGGAACACTAATTTTTAATGTTGTAAAAATGTTTCAGAGAAATATAACACGAAATAAGTTGAGTTGTATTAAACTTAATTAAAAACAAAACATAATATTCCATTAAATAATGTATATTATGTAAAATAATGTATTTGTACTTATTTGTGATACTCAAAATTTGACTAAATGAAAGAATTAGTAATTATTTTTTTTATAAAAAGTTATTTTTAGTTATATAAAAATTATATAAAGTCAGTTCATACTGACATTAAGACATCGACTGTTTGCTGGTTTTTCTTACAAATGGAAACGAATAAAGAACAGCAAAAACACTGATTAATTAGCTAAAATCAATGATGTTTTATATTTTATTTATGTTCAATTTATTCAAAGTTTTGAAAGAAAATAAAAAAACAGTAAAGATAAAATAAAAGTAACCAACTTTTTTATGTTGTAAAGCTTTATATAAATTACGTAATTACTTACTGCAATATTAAAATTTAAATTATTAAATTCAAAGTTAATATCTAGACTTATTGAATGAAACTTTAAAAAGTAAATAATCTTCTATTAAAACTTACAAGGGTTTTGAAAAATGTAATTTATTCTTCAAAATTTTCTATAAAATAATTTATTTATTTATTATTTCTCGACGTTTCAAGATCCTCTGAATCCAAAAATGTAAAAATTTGCTGGGTTATTTTTTGACCGATTGACATACTTCTCCTGTGCTTTATATAACAGCCAAAAAAGTAAAAAAAAGTAAACTGATATAACAAACTAACGTCGATTACGAATATATAAGAATAATCAGAAGATATAGCATTTCAAATAAAGCATTGCAGAAAAATTAAGAAAAATTAACATTTGTATATTTATGTATGTTCTGTAATATAAAGAAAATTAATTAAATGAAAATGAAACTTTCTGCTACATAATTTGATTCTTGATTCATTTACATATGCAAAAAAATATGAAAAATATAATTTATTCTTCACATGGAAACGATTCACATGAAAAGATTATTTCATGACTAATATATATTTCTATATAGAGCCGAAAAACTCATATTCATTTAATTATTTTTCAAATAATACTTTTTGTCAACTATGAAAGTTGATGACACTTATAGAGAGAGATATCATGTTAAATGATAAATATATCGATGAATAAGTTTATAACTTTCAGGAATACAATTAAATGATCAAATATTAATGAATAAAGATAATTAAAAGTCAAGAGTTTAGTATAAATAAGAAAAATAAATAAATAAATAAATAAATATTTTTCCAATGGTTCTGTTAATGATTTCAAATTAAGAATTAACCGCTTAATATGTAATTATAGGGTTTTATTACGATTAATTTAAGTTTTTTAATTTTTATTTTATTTTTTATAAAATTTCTGCATTTGTTCGTTATTTTACATGTAATCGAATTAATGTTTTAATAATTGAATAAATAAATAATTTAAAATAAACTGGATTTTTTAAATATTGGTTCATCAGTACCACTATACAAGTGACTAACATAAAGAAGTGAAATCAAACAATACAAGAAAAAACATGTACACTTCAAGTTTGAGCAAACATATTTACGAAAAAATTATTAAATAAGCTCTCATTTAGTTTATTATTCGCGATTCATTAGACGATCTCTCTATAACTAAACCTGAATAACATACTAAATTCGTTTAATCTTCTATATTATTTCTTTCTCTCCCACGACGTCTTCATTTGCTCAATACCAGTCGTAATCAATAACACACATTTTATATGATTCTTAAATTTCTTATCCCTGCTTTTTCTACTGATCCATACCGAATTCCAATTCGATTATTGGAATTCGGATAACACACCAAACACAAGTGTTTATTTAATTATCCGCGATGCTATGCCCGATCCAATGTTTATCTATCTATCGATTAAAGTCTTGCCGTTTTTGCGAGTATTTCATTTAAACTTCTGTTGAATAACAAATAAACAACTTAGTAATAAAGGCAATTTTCCTCCCTCACTACGGCCCCTTTTATAGTACTGTACATTTTCATGTGCTGTATTGTTCTTTCTATTACGCTGCTTACTAGTACACTCTAATTTTGCAATTTAATTCAATTTATTACAATTAAAAACTTTATAACACGATTTCATGTTTTGATTTAGAAGAAAGTTAAAGACCGCCACGGAAAGGCGATCCAAGAACAAGACAAGCGGCGTATTGTGTTTTGTTCGTTTTTCGCACCCATTTTCCGTTATGTCCTTTTTTTTGCCTCTAAATTTCATTAATCGCGCTCAGTCACGTGAGGGTGCATAGACATTGTCATTTTTTGACCCCACTATATATAGAAAATGAAGTCATGGACCCCAATTTTTGTTATATTTTTGGATTCCTCATTTGAATTAATGGAGAAAAGCAAAGTTATATCAAAATCAGCCCATTAAATTTTGAGAATGAATACAATTCTGTAAAACATATAGAACCACATAAGACTTTGTTAACGCCTCGCCTCAACCAGTATTAATGTATTTGATTTCGTAAACAGAGCGGTTTCATTTTTCCTTACACGTAAACTAAACATTACAAATAGAATCATTAATAATGTAACATGTTTGAACGTGGATAATTTCTTAAGTACTTACTGAATCTTTATTATTAACTATTGTATAGACGTGTTTTAATTAAGGTCGCATGTCACGTGATAAAACGTGTGATAAGCCCCTTCGCCATGTTTTGGTCTAGCTTTCTGTTGTTTAGCTTGCACATGGTTTATTATTTGGCAGGTTGGCAGCGTTTTTTTCTATTTAAATGGCGCACACACTTAAGTTTAGGTGTTCGAAAGTCACGTGATTTGATTATAAGAGTATTATTTGTAATAAAAAATCGTACATTTACGAATCCACAGATACTGAAGGGTTCTTTCATAAATTATAATGGGAAAGATTCGCTTACGATATTCACTGGTACTTTAAGAGAATGGCGCTATATAGAAAGAGGCTATATCGAGGTTCGACTGTATCTTTATCGTACGTACAAAGATATTAAAATAAAAGTTTATATTCGTGGAGCTATGAAAATGCATAATAAATTAAAACGTAAAATTTGTTTGTCTCTCGAAATATTGTTATATTTTTGAAAATATTGGGGAGAAATTTGTTTGGCTTGTGTTTTAGAATTATTTTAAATCAATGGTATAAGTTCCAGTTAGGGGTAGGAAAAGGAATTCCTAAAATTAATAAAGTTTTATAAATTCTACGGACAGCCGATAATAATTGTTGACGCTCGCCAACAATAACATTGTTTTTCGATTGTTGTATTGAAGCGAGTTAGTTCATGCGATTTTCTTTAAATATGAGTGAAAAGAAGAGGAGTTTTTGGAGATGGATTGGGAGGATCTTTAGACGAAGACCTCCAAGTGAAGAGAAGAGTGAGAAGAGAGAGGAACAGGGGAATGATCGTTTTCAGCATGCAGAATTGAGTGAGCTTCCGCCAGAGTCTTCAAAACATTATCTCGAACGTGTAGAGCGGAAGAATCCCAAGATTTATTGGGATAAAGCCAAGACAGCAAGATTGAGAAAGGCTTTTCTGGAGTACGAAAAGCAGTTGAAGATGAAAACCAATTTCGGAGGTCCGTCTGAGAATCGGAAGTCCAAGATACGCTGGAAATACTGTTTCTGTTGCTTTGGCAGAATGAAAGAATCCAACGTTGATGTCTCTTCGGGCATCTTTCATCGTTTTAATATCTCATCGATATCAGCTTTCTGGGTAAGTTTACATTTTAACAGATTGCACGTTTTCTTAATTCGATTCTTACTTTGGCGAAATATTAAAACTTGGATTTAATTTTGCAGACTTCGCATAGGAGTTCGAAAAGGAAATTGAGAGACTGAAGTGAGATCGTCTGGAGCAATACCTCCTTAGGGCGAACGTCGGTCTTTAGATTTCCTAAAAGAAAGATCACTTTATTGATTTGTGACGACTCTCGACTGGACATAAATACACGAACGTGACTTTAAATTGCGGACTTGACTTAAACTCCTGGATATGACTTTAAATTGCGGGCTTGACTTGAACTCCTGGATGTGACTTTAAATTGCGGACTTGACTTGAACTCCTGAATGTGACTTTAAATTCCGAATGTGTCAATAGGATGATTTATAAATTGATATCCAAATATAATACAGAAATCATTTCCTATGTCTGTTGTTTAATGTTGTTTAAAGATGAACGATAGGTGATTCCGTGCTGTGATTTAACATCAGCCAATGAACTGATTTTACTGATGCTTAGAATAGTTTGTAAATTCATGAGTATCCGAACCTCGTATAAATTGTATTTATAGATAAATATATAATAAAAAATTTCCATGTAATCTGCATTCTGTGTAATTTAAATTTAAATTTAAAGTATCTGGAACGAAGTTATTAGTCACCAGTACGGAATATGCAATTTTGAACAATTTTGTTTAGTATTTTTCAGCAATCAGATGAATAGATAGATTAAATTCATGTTAATTTTGTTGTGAACAAATTTTAAGAAGCGCTTATTTGGCGATATTAAAAAAGGCATATGGTATATTCACATCATATAAAGTACAGAAAAAACTAGGAGGTCTTCCTTTTCGTCCTATCCAATCACTAGTTTTCAGTTCCTGGAGATTGGACAAGACAGAAAAGGAAGATATTTTAGTTTCTTCTGTATTTTATATATTGTGAANTTGGCGATATAAAACTTTCAATTAAAAAAAGGCCAGAAGGTATATTCACATTATATAAAATACAGAAGAAACTAAGACGTCTTCCTTACCGTCCTCCCCTGGAGATATATATATATATAATGATATATGATATTCCTTTGTTCTTCAGTTAACTAACATTACACCCAATTACACAATAATTCTGCATAGTGATATTCGTAACGAATAAACAACACAAAACAGTGGCGTAGCGTAGTGGGGGCGGCAGGGGCGGCACGTTTTAGGGGGCGGCAAAATTTCACAATTAATAATAATAATATCTTGTAAAAATTTGAACCATTTTATCCCATAGTCTCGTCGCACCTACGATTCGGACCGATTGAAATGAGCATGGAATAGTCCGGGAATAGACTCACCGTCTGGGTGAACTGTTAATTTCACCCGTGCGCACAGCCTGCCGACCCTTTTTTTGCTTGTACGATTCATTTGTTTTCATATACACCTGCAATATTCAATGGAGCTATTTTGAACAGGTGGCTACACTGGCAACGAAATTTTCATTACTTGTTCTTCTGTTACGAAACTGAATTTTAGTCTTTTAAATTGAGTTACCTAAATAACGGGACGGCGAAATTTTCCTCCGCCCGGGCGGCTGACACCCACCTAACTCCGCTGATACAAAAAGCTCCAGCAAAAGCACGTGTAAGCACAAATAAAACATAAACAAACCACAAAAATGGAACTGGACAATTGTGCATGCTCATGAAGTCGCTGGTGATGTCCACTTAAAACCTCTCTATATTATTGTTTGAAAATATTTTGACTGTTCCGAAAATTGAGTACAGTGGTGCCTCGTACTTCGAATATAATTTATTTCAAGAGTCCGTTCGGACCTAAACTACGAATCGCTCGAAGTCCGAATCAATTTGTTCCCGTTAGAAATAATGCAAATTACCCGTTACCGTCTAGTGACGAGTCAGACTCGACCAACCTATGAAGGACTCAACGCCCACTGACGAGATAATTCGTCCAAACATTGCCACAGTCGAAAAAATAAATAATTCACTTTTTATGCACGGAATTTAGGCAGGAAAAGTTTATTTACCTTCTTTAGGTCGTTATCTATGCCCTCAGCAAATTTCGTAGTTGTATACCAATTAGAAGTTTTCTTTTGGACCGTTTTTTGGCCCCCTCTTATAGACATAGTACAGTACTAATGACCAAGAAACTCGTGTTATAATTGCTTTAGGGTGGTAACTCGTACACATCCTGTTAGAACCCCAACCTCCCTTCAAGCCTACATGCATCCATCCCGCGGATGTCAACCAATATCTGTGCTCAACATCAAAAAGTTTTAAACACAGTAGACCATGTGTCTCGTTGCAGCTTGTTTTCAATGAAATAAAAACACAAATAAAGTATCTCTAAAGCTATATTCTATAAATATAAATATTTATTTTAAATTATTCCATATTATTTTAATATTTTTTACTATAAAATCGCGTTTTGGGGGGTTATTTTTTTCGTGGCAACTTTTACGTCCTAATTTTTTTCTATTATCGAATTCGCTTTCACTTGGAAATGAATACTGTATTTATTTTCAAAAAAAAAAGTTATTTCCGAAAAAAATTGGAAAAAACCGGGCGTTAATTAACACATTATTGCTAATGCAAGATGTATTCTAGAAGCTTATTTTAAACATTTTACTTCATATTTTGTTTGAATAAAATCAAGTCAAAATGTCTTTGGATATCGGACATATTATGCCTTATGAGTTTGGAAAGGAGTTTTTTTTTATTGTTTGCTGTACAAACAATAAAAAAATTCGTAGTGTAGCTGGAAAAGATGCGCCTAAATTTCGAATGTGTCAAATGTGGTTTAAAAAGTTCCCTTCCGGAAATTTTCAAATAAAGGATACAAAACGCATGGGGGCCNTTTTTTTGCTTGTACGATTCATTTGTTTTCATATACACCTGCAATATTCAATGGAGCTATTTTGAACAGGTGGCTACACTGGCAACGAAATTTTCATTACTTGTTCTTCTGTTACGAAACTGAATTTTAGTCTTTTAAATTGAGTTACCTAAATAACGGGACGGCGAAATTTTCCTCCGCCCGGGCGGCTGACACCCACCTAACTCCGCTGATACAAAAAGCTCCAGCAAAAGCACGTGTAAGCACAAATAAAACATAAACAAACCACAAAAATGGAACTGGACAATTGTGCATGCTCATGAAGTCGCTGGTGATGTCCACTTAAAACCTCTCTATATTATTGTTTGAAAATATTTTGACTGTTCCGAAAATTGAGTACAGTGGTGCCTCGTACTTCGAATATAATTTATTTCAAGAGTCCGTTCGGACCTAAACTACGAATCGCTCGAAGTCCGAATCAATTTGTTCCCGTTAGAAATAATGCAAATTACCCGTTACCGTCTAGTGACGAGTCAGACTCGACCAACCTATGAAGGACTCAACGCCCACTGACGAGATAATTCGTCCAAACATTGCCACAGTCGAAAAAATAAATAATTCACTTTTTATGCACGGAATTTAGGCAGGAAAAGTTTATTTACCTTCTTTAGGTCGTTATCTATGCCCTCAGCAAATTTCGTAGTTGTATACCAATTAGAAGTTTTCTTTTGGACCGTTTTTTGGCCCCCTCTTATAGACATAGTACAGTACTAATGACCAAGAAACTCGTGTTATAATTGCTTTAGGGTGGTAACTCGTACACATCCTGTTAGAACCCCAACCTCCCTTCAAGCCTACATGCATCCATCCCGCGGATGTCAACCAATATCTGTGCTCAACATCAAAAAGTTTTAAACACAGTAGACCATGTGTCTCGTTGCAGCTTGTTTTCAATGAAATAAAAACACAAATAAAATATCTCTAAAGCTATATTCTATAAATATAAGTATTTATTTTAAATTATTCCATATTATTTTAATATTTTTTACTATAAAATCGCGTTTTGGGGGGTTATTTTTTTCGTGGCAACTTTTACGTCCTAATTTTTTTCTAATATCGAATTCGCTTTCACTTGGAAATGAATACTGTATTTATTTTCAAAAAAAAAAGTTATTTCCGAAAAAAATTGGAAAAAACCGGGCGTTAATTAACACATTATTGCTAATGCAAGATGTATTCTAGAAGCTTATTTTAAACATTTTACTTCATATTTTGTTTGAATAAAATCAAGTCAAAATGTCTTTGGATATCGGACATATTATGCCTTATGAGTTTGGAAAGGAGTTTTTTTTTATTGTTTGCTGTACAAACAATAAAAAAATTCGTAGTGTAGCTGGAAAAGATGCGCCTAAATTTCGAATGTGTCAAATGTGGTTTAAAAAGTTCCCTTCCGGAAATTTTCAAATAAAGGATACAAAACGCATGGGGGCCAAAAAAGTATCGATCAATAAAAAACTCAGAAAATATTGTTAAAAATCGACGAATAACACATAACAAAACACTTTAAAAATAGTGGAAAAACTCGTGGAAAACATACCAGCTTAAAGCGAGAGACGACTTGAGATTGCATTTACGCTTCCAGCACATTTTATCACTGTGCTCTCAGCTCTAACTTTAAAGCATCATTCGAACTTCAAAGCAATTTTTGTCAAACAAATTTGCTTTGGAGAGAGTATTGAAGACAGAGAGATTGCTTTCGAAGTACGAGATACCACTGTATCTTAATAAATCTTTGCATCTTTCTAAACATAATTTAAATATTTTTCTAAATTACATGTTTTATTTTTGCATATGTTGAAATTAGTTTATAATTTAAGAAACTAAAAGAGCATTAAAGTGTGAGATCCGAAAGGCCCCTGGGCCTCATTTATGAATTTTTATTAATATGTTTAAATTATCGACAAAATATTATTTCATTTTGTGTGAAAAAAACTGGTGTTTTAGACGTGGGAAAAATAGATGACAGATGACACTTCCTTTCCACAGAAGAGAACATCCGCTGTTTTTCCCTTATCCGTTAAAAATCTCGCTCAGATGGGAAATGGTTACCCCTCATTCATCCCCCTTTCATCCGTTCTCACGAAAGAGTTACTATACGATGATTGGACGAAGTTTGGAAATAAAAGGAGAAATTAGTCATAATTCGGGGAGTCCTCCGACCGATTTGAAAGTGTCCAGACTCCACATACGTTTCCTCCTGATGGCCAACGCCCATAACGGAGTCCGATAGACTAAGTCCCGAGTCTACACTTAGAAGAAGTGATATCTTTATATTTTGTGCACGAATTAATCTCCCATACGAAAGGAAGATGAACCCTATCTACAAGGTGTCCTATATCTACAGAAACGAAGACGACAACTAACAGGTCGTATGTTTAGAATCATTTTGTGAGCTCTCTCTCGATCGCGCATTAGCATAGATTTAGTCGTAACCTTTAACTTGTCATATAATCGTTGTTATTGATTTTCTGTATTCGTTGTTTGGATTTATTAAATTTTACTTATGTTTATTATATAAGAATGTCTCCTCAATTCATTCCGAATCAGATCGTTATCGCGTGTTTGTCCGCGCCTCTATAAATTGACAAACTGGTGTCACGGAATCCTGACGAGTATCTGAACTTCGCCGTTCAGATCAATTTTGATACAGTGCCTTCCTATAAAAAGTTTAGAGAGCCGATCACACGATCGTGCGCCAGTAAGTGATATAAGTAATTTCCTTATACCCTTGGCTACTTTCACAAAAGTCATTGAATTACTTTTTTTGATTTAATTATTTGCTGGAAAATCATCATTACGCTTAATTCATATAATTGAACTAATTAATTGTCGTAAATTCAGTGTCATAAATTGAAAATATATCCTCGGAAATACAATTTGAAATTTATAATACCTACAAAGAAATAAGTATATACAGCAGTTAAATACTGTACAACGCTTCCTTATACTTATTGTAAAATGTCTGTGTTAAATACATTAAAGTATTACGTTTTTATGAATTATATTTTATTAACGTTAACAATAAAAAATTTCTATTTAAGAAAAAATAATTTTTATAAAATTTATATTATTAAAATAATGTACACCTTAATAGACGTATAGAATACACTCTGTAAATGCTGAAAGGAATTTCATTTGTTTCTTGTTTTCGAATGTAAATCAGAAAAAAAAAATAATAATAAATTACAATGAATCCTTCCTTATTAACAATCGGATTTTAAAAATAATTATTAATAAATAGTAAATTATATTTATTATTTTTAATGAACAATTATTAACGAAGTTTTTGATAAAAAAAAAACCTCCAAAAATCATATTAAAAAATTACAATTAAATACTTTTTCCTCTTTGCCATTGGAAAATATGGAGAAGAATTTAATTGGAAAATAAAATCTATAAAAATATATTTATAATATTCTTTATTTTATTGCAACAATATGATTGTAAATGTGCGTTGAACATAGTTTATAATATTAACATTCATACAGTTAACATTAATATTCATACAATAAAGGAATAAACAATACTGTAAAAATACCATTCCTTTTATAAATATGAAGTTTCATGTAAACTAGATGCGGATAAATCAGGCAAAGACGGTAATCTTTTACTTTTTACATTCTTATTTAAGAATGAATTTGAAGGCGATGAACTGTCATGAAAAGATTTACTTCGTGGAATAATCCCATTAGATTCCACATTTAAAGAAGATTTTGATAAAATTTTCAGAGAAAATTCGAAATAATTCTCTTCTATTTTTCTGATTGATTTATTTATTTTTCTGTCATTTTTATTTCTGGAAACTAAATTAAAGAAATGTTTTATCTTTCGTGTTGTTTCAGCTGGTAATGCAGTTTGTTGAAGACTATCGCTGTGTGATCCACTATCAGAAGACGTTGCGTTGGTATTATCGCAACTGATGATGATATGGTGACTACATCCCAATCTCTTACTTGTTCTATTATTACAAGGAAAAGATTTTACGGATACACGACAACACGTAGACATTAAAATTCTTCTAAAACCACTTCTGAATCTCGAACTCATTGCAGCGTAAATAAATGGATTAACACACGAATTTAAGAATGCAAATAAATTAATACAGAGCATGGTAAAAAAAAAGTTTTCACGTTCTAAAAAATTTACAGGTTGATATTGAGTAATAATTGCAACTAAGAAATATGGAGTCCAAGAAATTGCAAAGGCGATCACCACAATAATTACCATTTTGGCCACCTATAAAAATATTAAAATTAGATTATTTTATTATACTTTTTTTTGGAAAATCTTCAGTTGTATACCTTTCTTCGATACGCTTCTTGACGACGAAGACTACCTTGTCGATGAAAAGCAATCTCTTTAAGAAGACATCTTGCAATTTGGTAACACGTTCCTCCAATGAATATTAAAGGAAGAAGGTAGATAAATATAAATAAAAACGTATAATAACCTTGTCGAAATTTTGGTTCTAAAGTGATGAAACAGGTCAATCTTGTGATAGTTCCGTAAGAACTGCTCAACACATTTGAATCTGCCAATGATGGATAAAGAAATGGACTCGCAACCACGCAAGGTATACACCAAACAATTAATAAAATTTTCTTAGCTCTAGCTTTACTTTGTAATTTACGATGATGCAGAGGATGAACAATTGCCGAATATCTGAAAATTAATTTTAAAATTATTATACTTATAGAATATACAATATAAAAATTATTAAAATTTGTATTTCTTCATCAAAATAAGAAAATTTTAAGGAATTTTAGTAAAGAATTACCTAATTATAATTTATTAAAATAATCATTATTATTAGACAAATTTAGATCATATGAGGCAAATTAATTAAATAAACGCCCATTAGTATACTCGTATCAACAAATTAAATGTAGACAAATATAATAAATAAGGTAATAATATTACAAACAAACATTACAAATATAAACTTTAATTCTATTTAATTCATAATAATTTAAGTTTAATTATGCATTTTATACATATTTAATTATTAAGTTAATTATTAAATAATGGCTTAACATTAAATGTTATATTTAATACTAATGAAAATCAATATTTATAATCATATTTACAATTGTTATTCATTTATGAAATTTGCATATGCAGTGTGACCAATAAATATAGTTTCTAGTTTATTTAAGTTATTTGGAGATTAAAGAATTTATAAAATTGCAGAAAAAATAAATAAAAATGATAAATGCTAATTTAAAATTAATTCTTCACTTTAATTTATCTAGAAGTTTTATTCAAAATTTTATTAATATTTATATAATTTATTTTTAAAACTCATTTTATTTTATACTGTAAAATAATTGTTATAGAATAGTCTTAAAAAAATAATTCAAGTTTATTCCAATTTCTTTATACAATTTTTATTGCTTAAATATTAATATATAAGAAATATTTTCCTTGTATATTCCTCTACCTGTTTATTGAAATTTCTTAAAATATATTCATTTTGTCATTAAATTTTATAGAATTTTTTAAAAACTTTTATTGTTTCTGTATTCATGCTACAACTTAGAAATTTGAAGAAATAAAATAGCATGCCATCATTTAAACATTTCACCAAATTTTCTCGTCATGAGCATATTTATCTCTATTTTAATGAGATTTTATAATAAGTACGGACTGTGTAGAGTGTATGTATGCAGTCATTTTAAAGGAAATTCCTTAGAAAAGAAGCAACAAAAATTTAAAATATATTTTTTCTTATTATTTTGCTTTTAACTACTTATTATATAAATATATTTTTAAAAATACTTTTTCTGAAAGAAATTTTCATATAACTTCCATCACGTATTTTACTTTAATAATTAACCATTTTATTGTAATTTAAGATGTTTCTTTTTATACTAACCATTAACTGCTTCTAAATGCTTAACCTTGTAAAATACATGAACCCAAGTGAAAGTTTAATGAAGTATTTTAGAAGTAGCCTATAAAACTAAAATAGAACATGAAACAAGGATAGAATAGAATAGAAACAAAGATTGGAAACGTTTATAGGGAATTTTCAAATTTCAGACCTATAAATTCCCTTTGGTGTCCGTCTGCCTGTCTGTTGCCTGTCCTTCCTTAATCTCGCGAACTGAATTAGATGAAAGTCGAGACCAGAAATGAAAAGCTTAGGTGCCTAGGCTCGCCTAACAATATACGAACTTCTGGATTCATTTTCTTCCAAAAGAAAATGAAGTTACATATTGAGTTTTCAATAATCAGTGTACATACAATTATTTATTTAATACTTTATGTACAAATGTACCGGTACTTCAATCCAGCGATATTCTATAATATGCTCTTACAAATGTCCATCATAATTAAATAACAGAGAAAACACTCAGCTAATCTCAATCTGTCCTTTTCTAAATATTCTTAAATTTACATAAATGTATTTTAACATCAATTCAAATTTAAACTTTTATCGAAAATATAAATGGAATACAACCGAAAAATCTCCGAATGTTATTTTATTTATTTATTCTTAAAGGACATGATCTTAATCAAATATAAGGTTTGCTCGCGATTGACTTACATTTCAAGATTCAGTTACTCAGCTTAACTCAAGGTTCAGTTATTCAGTCAAACTAAATTATTAAAAAATAACAGAAACAATTAAATATTTCCATTTGAAAAGATTTGTTTCTACCTGAAATAAGAATAAAACAGAATATATTTACGTCTGAATGATTACAATTTGGAAACTATAAGCAATATTTTACCACTTTCTTATTGTAAAATAACTCATGAGAGAAATGATAAAACACAATTTATCTTTTGTATTTACGGGAAAAATTGAATTTGTTAAAAAGATAAATCCGTAACTTTACCTTCTCGTGTTAAAAAGAAATATACCAGATTATAGTAATTAAAGTGCCCATATACAACGCTGTCTAGAAAGATAATGTACAGTTCAAATGCAACTAAATCTAAAGTAATGAAATTTCAGGACAAACGGAAGATATTTGCGTAAAAAATTTATTGCCAAAATTCATTATTATGATACTTTTGACGCTTCAAGAAACAAACCTTTTATTTGTATAAGATACTCATGCTATACGAGAGGCCGTAGCAATGAGGAGATACTGTTAATTGTGATCCTCGCTGTTATCGATGATGTATAGAATGTCAGATGTATAAAAACGCTCCATCTTATATAAAATTAGATGATTCAAGGCATTGACGCTATTGTATTTGAAATACGATAAAAGTATTGAGCATTTCACGAGAATTCTGTTCCGTTACATAACATGAACCCGTTAACATAACATATCTTGGACGTTTTTCTTCATTGAAGAATGTCCAAGGATAAATGTGGCTGTGAATGCGCAGTAGATTAACTTAGGCGAGCTCAGTGAAATCTGCTAGAAAACATGAGTGTTTCCATAGTCTAAATGTGATAGATACGAGTATTAACTGTATCGTTGAGATGAAAATGTGCTTCAACTTTTCATAGGATTTATCACGGCCTGACAAGTTTGCTTCCATTCTGGTAAGAATGATCAATGCAAAGATTATTTTGTCGGAAGAAAGCAAAAGCTGATTGTGGCTAATCTTATACGGATAACAATGCACCAACTTTCTCAGTATCTTCCACACTGCCATAGGATACATCTAATTGCCATATCATGCATGTAATGTTGAGCCTGTAACATTATTTATCGACTGTTCAACAACTTGTTAAGTGATCGATTTGAGCCCTCCATAGATTTGAGCTCCCAGACGTTCAGTTTTCTCGAATCGATTCTCCTTGACCTAGAGCTTGTGGAGTCAATGATCCTCGGCGTAAATTTTTACGACAGCGAAATTCCAAAAGTGCATTCACAGCATTTTCGTTGCTTCCATAAAACAATTTCGCTAGAAATGCGCATTCTGGAAGTATGATGAGCCTTGTTGCTGATAAGAGTAACGTTTAACAGTTTTGGCGACTTTTACACTCAGTAAAATCGCCACAATTGTTAAATGTATGGCTGCAACATGTGTACTTATGCAAAGAAAACTGCTTAAACTGCTTTTTTCGTTACTTGCAGTACCAAAAGTGGTGCGTTTTGAACTAATTTAATATGACAGATAAAATACTTTATCTATCATGTGCCACTAAAGATAAAATAATTATGTTTCTACTTGGTTATGCATAAAACAATTATGTATTAAAATTGTACTCAAAGTATTTTTATTTGCATTAAATGGTAACTCTACTTAACTAGTCATTTTCTGGTTTCGCGAACGATTTTCTATCAAGATTCCACTGTAATTTACCAGTTGTTGGATATTCACAATGATATGCTTTACGGTATCCAACTATACTGTAATAACCACTAAATTTTCCTGTTTTAAAATAAATAAATAAATTTTAGATTATTTCTTCATTAACGTATCGGTCAAACTATACATGTTATTTTAGTCACTAGGATTTATATAATTATAATATCGTTGTTACTATATATTTACAAAATAAAAAGTATTCCTAATGTATTAGGAAATTATAGAATATTTTATTAATTTATACTCAATTGACAATTAAATTTTGATTTGTAAATAAATCTTTTATAGCATAAAAATATGAATTGCATGTTTAAATCTTTAAAAAAACGCGACTCGTTTATTGGATAAAATATTAAAATAATCTAAAATTAAGGAATATAATAAAACATTTTAACATAAATGCAATAATTTTGCTTGAATCTTTTGACAAATGAATCACAGTAAAATAGAGATTTTCGTTGAAAATCGTACAAATAAATTAATTATTCCTAAAAAATATCTCTCCTAAATCACATATATTTGTATTATCTACATAATAAAATTACAAATAATAAATAATTGTTCTTCATATCAATTGATATATGTAGTAGAAAACAATCACTATATAAGATGAATAATGTTTCTATTTCTATATTTGAGATATAACACACAACTAATGTTAAATAATTGTGAATAAAAATAAAAAATTTCTGAATTTAGTAACTAAAAATATAAATAGAAATGTCAAGTAAACGATATAAAATTTTAAAAAAATTATAGCTGAATATACATTTATTATTAATAAATGTTACTTCACGTGTAAAAGAAATAGTAAAATAATTGCTCCAGCTTTTAGAAATTTGCGTAAACAAATATTATGATGTAAAACCTGAAAGTTTTACGTATATCATTATTTATTGATAATGAAATGCTTTCACTCTTCTAAAGTTTTCCTAGTTTAGAAGATTCCCTAAAAGGAAATTTTGTCTTTACTTAATGTCATAATATTAAAAATTCACTTAGAATAATTAAACTATAGTCTCAAAAATTAATTTATTTTACAAAATGGTGGAGATAAATATAAAAAAAGATTCAAGAATTTACATGAATTAAGAATAATTAAGATCGAAATTTTAGATGATTATATAAGATAAACTCTCTGTTTCAATTGACAAGAACTTATTGTTTATTATAATTAAGTAATAGTTGATAAAAGCTGTAAATCATAATTTAAAAAATAATAATTGGGCTGCAATTTTCAAATTGTAGATCTATACATTCTGGAACCAGAAAATATTGACTAGTTAAGTAGAGTGACCATTTAATTCAAATCAAAATACTTCATGTATTAGGTATTGTTGAAGATACAATACTTAGGTTTTTACTTGGTTATACATGAAATAGTTATCTATTAAAATTATATTTATATCATGTAACAAAAAAGTGAATATTTATATTTTTTAATGCTAATTCACATTTTATAAATGTAATAGAAAAGAGGTTAAATAGATGAAAATCGAGACCAGATATGGAAAGCTTATTTTACATTACAAATTCTATCAATAACTTAGATTAGACCATTGCAGAACTGTCTGCAATATTTCTTGGAGGTAGAAACAATATAGTAAAAAATTTTCATTTTTCAATTGTTATGTACAGTAAATGAGGATAGATATATATACTTTGTGAAATTACTTATCAATATTATACAATTACTAAATGCACCCAAATCACAGAAACAGAAAGTATTGTTATAATGGTACTAGGTATTGATATTAATAATGCATTATTTTTCTCTCTATATACAAAATAAAAGCATTCGTATTAAAGAAATTATTTTAGAATGATTAAAAAAATCTTTATTTTTAAAAAATACATATACGTACAGTACGTAAGTATATTTACTACTGATATAAGTTGGACTTATAATATTTAAAAATTTTGCTTTCTTTATATCTTTATAATATCTTAATATCTTCTTTTCATTTTATTTTGTTTAATTATTAGGAAAAATATTAAAACTAATAATTTTTTCATCGAATCTTTCACACATTTTATACTCTATCACCCTAAATTTTTATTATTTATGTAAATTTCTTTCAATTGAATGATTTACAGCACAATTTATATAAACTGCAATGTGATAAATTAAATCACTCTCTTAAAAAATAACTCAAATTCTTGATATTATAAATAAATCTTAACAAAATAATCATAAAAGATCAAGCTGGATAATATTAAAATTTTAAAATGTTTTTTAAAAGTATTCAATAATTCTTAGAAAACAAAATATTTTTAAAAAGAATCAATATAAATTTTCATACATTGCATTTTTCAAATTTCAGTTTTATAAATGTTTTTCAAGAGCCATTAAGATAATTATTTTGTATACATTTTTTACATAAGATCATCTAAAGAATATATTTTTAAAATGTGAAACTATAAAATAAATTTATTAATTAGTTTTATGCTAAAAAATATCACATTAATTATGAAGTAAATTTAAAAAAGAGAAATATATTACGAAATCGTTATTAAGGTTTCGAAGTACATCAGTTATTATCATTATAAATATTTATAAATCTTACTACTTTAAGTATTTACATGCTAAACTAATAATTCCGTCTGCTTTTTATAATATGGCTGATTAATTATAATTATATTATGTAAGTAAAGATGTACTAAAAATAGGCGATGAAGACTCCATATTGCATTAAATTTAATAATTAAAAGTAAATTACTTAATCTTACTAAGAAAGGATCAATGGGGAGGGTGATTCGAACCAGCAAATCCTAATTAACCTACAGATGCGTCCGATTTTCCTTTTCACGCCAATTAATTTAGATGCAATCATTTAATCTTTTATAAATTATAATAATTATAAATAAATTAATTAATTTTTAATTATTAAATTTAATACAAGATAATGGTTTAACCTCGTACATTTAGTCGTAATAAGTAATATCTTATAAATTGCTTAATATCTTTAAAGTAATTACCCATATTATAATCCAATTAAAACTCAGTGGTAATGTTGTTTATTACTATGGATGAGTTCGTCCATAAATTACGTAATGCTATTTTTATAGTTTTTAACTACCATTCTAATCCCTGTAAAGCTCCGTACTCACTCTCAAAATTACGTAACGTATAATCTCGATCAACCTCCTTAATTGTATTAAAGAATATTAAAAAAAACACGGATTACCAAGGTTACATAATTTTATTAATTACTGTACAGTACATGTATAATATACAGAGAACGACATAAACAATACGGTTCCCTATGTAACACTTCAGAAACAAAAATGAATGGTTAAGCATCTGAGACTCTAGCATTGAATAAAGGTTTTGGAAACACCCATATCCTCTTGTAGCGATTACCTCCATATAAAGTCTCGAGTCAAAAAATGTAAAAATCTTGGGGTCATAGTTTACTTCCCCTCTTGTTCTATAGGCTATAGCAGAACCAAGAAAGTAAAATATCATAATAACGCTTTCCCAGAACGAGAATGAACGTGACTGAGCGAAATTCTGCCAAATTTTATGCACCTTGAAAACTAGATTTAGTGAGCAATTTAAACTTTTTTTTTTATTTTGCGTATTTTCCTTTCTTTTCTTCGGATTACCGATAGCGTAAACCTGTAACTGTTTGTGACGAGCCGCGTATGACACGATCGTTTGTATCAAGTCTTGATCCTATAGAATTAAGGAAAAAAATCAATCTATATTATAAGATTTAAATTTCCCAATTATAATGTATGAAATGCCGTAACTAAATATACTTTCGTTAGCCATCTTTGTGTTGTCTTAATCGGTTTTATTCGATTATTGCAATGTGACACGTGCGACCGAGGAGGGAATGCTCTCGGAAGGTCTTTTATGGGAAATTGTACCCTATTTAGATGTTACTAACGTGAAGAAAATCCGAAAAACTCCACGTGGCAATCTCGTTGTCGAGGCGCGAACCCACGACCACCAGTGTTAGTGGTTATATTTCGTTATATTAAGTTTGATTCATGAAAGTTTCTATAAAAAATTATTGATTTTCATATTATAAAATTTAATTAGATCCAAAGATATCAAACTTCTTAATTTATACTGTATTTTCATTTATTCTCGCTATGTTAATCAAAGAGAAAACGAAATTGCTGCATTTATTTAATTAATCTCAGGGGGATTTATTTTTAAAACGTACAATACATACAGTACGTATCACTCGAGTTTCTTCGAAGATCGGTGGTTTTTTCGTGGTCGGGTTTTATTACCTTGCAACAAGAGATACCCTAATTACTCGTACCAAAACCATTTATGATTGTTACAACACTTGAAATTTATCATCATCCAATTCTGTTATTACGTTTTTGTTTATGTCTGCTTCGATGTCGTTTTATGAATCAATATTTTGAGTATCATCTGGTTGAAACCCGCCATCTCTTTCCTTTTAGAAAGAGATGGCGAATTTCATCTAGTTTCTCTAATTAGGCCTACCCTTCGGCTGATAAGTTCTGGATTTATGACGCGATCGTGACTTTCCTACTTTCAATATTCGACAATATTTAAAATTGTATTTCAATTGTTTCTGTGAACTTAGAAGAAATTGAGAACTGCTGTTCTAAACCACATTATTCTATACTTTATAGAATTTCAACAAGTTTCCTATGCTTTTAAACCCGGGGTTTATCTGAGACTGGGATTTAAGATTGAGGCAGTATGGTAAGTTATTATTATTTGTTTTCGTCTTTTGTTTTAATTTGTATTTCTAATTAATAATTTCTTATTTGTGCATTGTATTATTAAAAAGTAATACAATCTTTTTAATAGCATTCATTTATTCTGTTACTGTGTTGGCGAATGGAAGGAAGAAACCTGATGAAAAAATAATCAGAGAAGTAAGTTGTCATTTTTTAAATTTACTTTTAATTAAAAAAACTAATTAACTTGCGATTTTAATATAATAACTTATAAAAATCCTTTGTTTTCTTATTTATTCTTCCTAGGAATAAACATATCGCCTATCAACAAAGCTTACGTATAATTATATTGATATTATAAATATTTAAGCAGAAGTTTTTCTTTACCTCTACTGTCAATATTTAAAATGTTTCGATGCATCAGAACTTTCATTTAGCTTTTCCGCATTTTTTTATCCCTATATTTTATTAAAGTAATTTTCCGTCGTTAATTTCTTCATATAATTTTTAATTGACCCTTTTTTAATGAATTTTCAATGTAGCTTACATGCTATATTGAAAATTCATTATTCATTATTGAAAATGCTATTGATCTTAGAGAGTATTTTTTTACCACTTACAATACCCCTTATTGTCTTTTATATTCTTTCATCAAGTTTCTTTCTTACAATCTGAAATTCATTACTTATTAAGAATTTTATACATCAGTTCAGTAATAAATCCTTCGAATTTTCAATTAACATTATAATTTAAATATCAAAAATCTTTTTAAATTATTCTCTATTTTGATTCTAGACAAATTCTTTCATACCTTTCATCATTCACTCGCTCTAATCTACGGTGAATCTAAGTAAGTAACTATTAAATTTCATTAAATATGTAAATAAGTAACTGTCCATTTAGTTTTACAATTGTTAGCAAATTATTCAGAAATCCGAAATCCGAAATCAGAAATCCAAATTATAATATGGAGTATTTAATATATCGTTTACATAACATTGGAGGATGAATCTTTCTTCTTGTCTCTTCCAAATGTGAAGTTTAACTACAGAAGAAAGATTTAGGTAATAAATGCGCTAATATACAATGTAATAATTTGGTATATGTCATTATTTTCTACTTATAAGGACTTATCTATACATAGAAAAAATGAAGATCATAATGAATACTTTAAAAATTAGAGTAGCATGTTATAACAAAACAATTATAAATTTAACATTCTGTTCATTTATTTACGATTCTATGATAAACAATTTCACTGGTTTAGATAGAGAAAAAAGTAAATACGCCGGATTTAAGTTTAAATAGACAATAAAGTTGATTAAATAAATAAAAACAAAGAAATTTGACAAGTGTTTTATATTTTAAAGGAACCTTGTAAAAAATTCATATAGGTTAGATACTGTACATTTTTATTCCTGATGTCAATTTCCACAGTTTAGTTACTATTTTTTATATATTTTTTTCTGATAAACGCTCGTAAACACTAAAACATCGGTAACAAAATTATGAAATATTAAAAATACATTTATTTTTTCATTGAACTCAATATAGATAAAACTATAAAAATATTCTATATAAACACAATAAATCAATGTTGTATTAATAGAATAGATAAAGATAGAATAGATTCGAACCAGTAGTCTATTTATAGTAATTACCCTTAATCGAAAAACCATTCAAATACAACAGTAATAATAAATGACAGATAAGTAGAAAATAGACACAAAATAAATTATTATCGTGTATTAAAGCACTTTTTACTTAATTTTCTCTCTTTCTAAACACACTTTATAATGCAATGTAGCTATAAAAATGGTATAATTTGAAAAACATTTAAAAAATATTAAATTATTAATGAAGAGAAACTGTTTTAAATGCAGTACGCTTCCAAAATTTATTAACAGATAGGCATATAGTGTTAAAATTTGATACTAAATTATGTACCTAAACTTCTTATTTGGAGGAGATTAGAAGAAAGATTACTCTTCCAGTGTCTTTTCCTGTGTTGTATAATCTGAAGTATTTAATACATCATTTACATATGAATTGAAGATATGTAAAAATTACTTTTTTAACAATTTCAAGAAATAATATAACATAAATAATACAAATGAAAAATACATTATTTAGCTTATAATAATGTTTTAAGAAACACGTCATAGATTCGTAAATTCTTTATTTCTTTTGTACTTTTACTTATTTACATAGCTTTCTTCAATAGCTAAACTTAAACACTGGAATATTTACTTACTTTCTTCTTCTCTACCTAAATTAGTGAAATTTTTTTTATTATACTTGATAGATTCGTAAACAGATAAACAGAGAGTTAAATTTATACAGTAATTGATTTGTTATATGCATCCCTTGTCATTCAACTTCCACACGTTTAATAGAATTCGATCCAAAGTCCATTAAATAGAGTTGCTTAGTGTATTTGAAAGACGTTAAATATTTTGTTAACTATATTGTATACATTGCAATTTTTGAGTATAAAATAATGTTTATATATTCACTATGAAATTAATCATAACACATTCATTAATTTACAACAATAAATTTTGTTGGGCTGTAATTTGAAAAAATTGTAGACATAAATTCTCCACTGTCGTCCGTCCGTCTGACTGTCTTTCCGTAACCTTGAGAACGAAATGAGATAGATGGAATTCAAGACACACATAGAAGCGTAAGGATGGAAGACCTCGATTAACCAAATAAGAACTTCTAATACCATCCGAAAGTCACGTTATTTCAATTCAAAACTTTCCCCTGAAAGCAGTTAATAGAAGACTCTATTGTATGATCTGCAGGAGCAAGCCACTACAGTACTAATTTGAGCGGAGAGCATATATTTTAAATTAAATATATTAAAAAATACGATTAAAAACTGCATTGTGACTATTTCACAATAAATAACTTCTCTTTCTTAAAATATTTCGTAAAGAATACTTAATTATTACACAAAATTCAAATTATATAAAACGAATATTTATTAAAGGATAACTTATAATACAGTATAGTACAGTGAAACCTCGGTTTACGAACAAATTTTTGAACTCATATTTGCCCCAGTTACCATACGATAATTCGGGTGTCGAACACAGACGGTTAACTCCCTATTATTTCCTGTGTTAAAAAAAGGATTACCGATTCAGAAGTTAGTGGTGCCGAGATCGCCTAACATCATTAGACGTCACGACACAAACTACCTAGGACGTTGTTATTCGAATTAGATTTCAATGCGCTGCGGGTAAGATATTATTTCCGTTTTTCGGAACTACAAATGCATATTTTAGGAATTTCTAACATGCATATATCTGACTTATTTATATTCATATGTATGCGCATGTATTGCAAAATCCGGCCCTTAATTATAAAAGTTTAAACTATATCTTATAATTTAGTACTATAATCTCTTTATATAGGGGAGACCGGGGCAACTTCGGCATGCGGGGCAAGTTTGTCAAGCGCTTTTTTTAAAAACAAATTAAAAGGAAACTTTGGTTATAGNATAATCCCCAAAAAGTAGAAGATATTCAGCAGAAATTCTAAAAAAATAAAAGAATTGCAATTCAGTTCCATTATTAATAATGAATTAAATCGGATTTAATCATGATTTTAGATGATATAGTGATTTATTTCTATACAAGTAAATGTCATATTAAGTTCATTTTAGAAAGATGATGATAATGTTTATTTTCTTTGAATTACTATGGATTTAGAAACGTAATCCGCAATGCCATTAAGAGAAATTTCTAAAAAATTTTCTATTTACGCTCTATAGTCCAAATTTCTAACAAATACAGTACTTATATGATTATGGACACAATGCTTTTCCAGTATACTATAACCAGTATGATTCTTTTCAAATCAAAGTTTATAACTTCATATCAAGTAGATGTTTATTATAAAAATTTGAAATAAAATCTATTTGAGTAAATAACATCTTATTAAATAATTAATTGCTAACAATTCATTATTTTTTTAAATATTTTGCATTGCATTTTAATAATTACAATAATTTCAAATTATATAGCAGGAGTGACCAGACCCGTATCACGGTAGGAACCATATATTGTCTATCAGAAATACACGAGAGCAGCATCCTATGTTGGAAAGATTATTTTATATTATATATTGTTAAAATACTATAGTTATTATTGTTCTATGGTATTATAGGTATGTGAGAAAGGTTTCCTGAAAGGTTTCGAAAAAATAAGTTTTTATTAATTAATTTCTTTTTCTCTTATCTAAATATATACCAACGCTTCTCTTTACTGGTAGAAGAGGTTTGGGACTTTGTAATTGGAATGGTAACTATTTAAAATTTGCTTCATATTCAGTAATTGCACTCCATAAAACATTTCATATGTTTAAATGATTTGTACCAAGTTTATAAAAAGAAATGGCATAAGCAGATATGAGCTGCAATAACAATCTAGAAGAGCCACAGTTGAGCCACCGACGTAATATAATATATCTGTAAACATTAAACATTTAAATTTATTCTGGTAATTTTTAAAATAAAATTCTTTAATGTATAAGATATATGTTTATTCTCTATAAATCTCACATATAAAAAATACTGTATTCAGTTATATACGGTAAAATCGCATGGAAGATTAAAAACTATAACCAAATCAGAGGTATATTTTAACATATATTTTCATTTTTATTATGCTTTCAACTAAGATAATAGAAATTTGACGAAGTAAATAAGTATTTCATGGAACGTTTAAGAAAATAAGCATGACAACCAATAAGCTATTTTAATCAATTTATTTATTTTCTTTTATTATTTAATTATTTTATTAATTTATTTTCAAACAAAAATAAATTTGTTTGAAAATAAATTATGATATAAATATTTGATACTTATTAAAAATTAAAATGAAATTTAAATTACAGACAGTCTTAAGCTTTTCTCTGGGTAATAACTAAAAAGGGCTTTTAATAAATTAATAATTTATTAAATCGCAATATCTCTCATTAGAATTGAAAGGAATGGAGGATTGAAAGGTATAATTGAATATAATGATAATATTCAACTGTAATATTAAAATATATCAGTCAGTAGCAATTGATAAAATATTTAGTCTAATAAGCTAATTATTTATAGTAATTCTAATCACACATGAAAGAATTCCATGTTATGTACATTATGTACATTATGTACTGTACATTGTTAAAAAAACACGTAGAGCAATAAAATAGAAACTAAGATGTTGTGTTTTAATACACAACATAAATATGAGTTTATAAGGTGTAGAATAATACACTTCCAAAGAAAAATAACACATCATACTGTGAAATCAATCTTTAATCAAATTTATTATGAAGAATAAATAAACAATATCAAGACTAATACATAGGAATTTAGAAACCGAACTTCATTTAATAAATATTCTATCCATAAAACACATTTAATATTAAAATTTATTCATAAATTTTATAAAAGTTTATATTAGATCTACATGAAATAATAAATTTTCGATTCTTCATAGAAGATCAGTCACTTAAACCATAAGGGATCATAAGACATCATAATATATAATAGTTTATATATTTTAAAAAGTTGAAAACATTTAAATTTAATATGAGATTTTGAATATTTATCAATGAAAGAATTTTTAAATATTTAATGTTATTTGAATAATTTTATCAATTATACTTATATCAAATTGAATTGAAAATCTCTTCACATTATATATGAAATGAAAGAGAAGAATTGAATAATGTTAGTAAATATTTACCTCATTTATGCTAGAATGAATACATTAATGCTACATTAATATATAAATACTGTAAGAAAAAATGTTTATAGCCTATAGCATTAGTAGCATTAATAATTACTCGTATATATACTGATGAGTGATGACCAGAACATCAATTAAAATAAGTTAAATTTATACTAGTAATTATGTAGTGTAGAAGAAATGCAAACACTCGTACAATTATATGCATACATATTATTGAACTAAAGTAATGTAGGAATTTTTTTAGAAAAACATTAATTTTTCTTATGTCTTATTGGCAATCCAAATACTCGTATGAGTTCGAGAACTCCAGTACGTCAAGCAACGTGTAATATACTGGTCTGTACAAGTTTATTTCACACTAGATGAGAAACTCGCCACCAGGGCCATTTAGTGCATGGTTGATCGTGCAATACTACCAATCCATTTAAATATATATTATAAGCATTAACACTCACACCATTGGAGCTGGCAGTTTTACTTTTGGCTGCATCGTTCGCCTGCTGTGCACACCCTGCAAGCACGCCTGGTCCCTTTGCAAGCCAGATAATGGCACCAGAATGTCTTAAAATCGCTACATCAATATCCTATAAAAGCTCGCAGATATTAATTGTGTTCAGAATTTCTAGGCGTATTCTTTGTTTGGAGATCGTTCAAATGCCAGGCATGCCTCCATTTGTCTCCAAACTGCAGTAAATATCTTTTCAATAGATTTAAAAATGTAACTTCTTAACATTTTTGAAAATTATTCTTTGCCTAATTGGGCATTTTTATTTAATTACGGCTTATATTTGTAGTATAAAAGGAAGAAAAAAACTTCTAGGTTATTTCCGCTTTTCTTTTTATTATTCCCAAATGAATTTCGAAGATTTTTTATTCCTCTTCAGTCATACAGAGGTAAAAATTTTGGCACGATATTTACATATTATATAAGCAGTAATATGGCCAGATTAGTTTCTACAGTGTTTTCATAGCACTCCTGGAAAGGTGGTTCTTACAAAATTATTCTATTTTCCAATTGAGAATTTCAATTGAAAAATAGAAAGAACGTTCAATAGATATATACTTTCATACTCAAAGTTTCAACAAGTATTTCTACTTGTATACCGTCAGTATGTCTCAGCTGAATGAACGGGGAAAGTGGAATCATAAAAAGCTATTGAAGCACGGAAATACAAGTTCCTTATCCTTCCTTCCAGTTGTCGGAAGGTTCTTTCATACGTATGAAAACTCTTTTATTTGCAAGAACATTGTCCAGTGTTTATAAAGAGTGCTTTTAATAATGCGTGCGAAGAAATGCACATATGATTTCTGCATGGATAGCTACATCTCTTCAATGAACTCATATTGTCTATGAAGAATGCTCAAACAATTTAAAATAGTGTAATCATCAAATTTTTAAAAAATTGAAAATAAATATCATGAACAGCAAATTTAAGAAAACTGTAGAGATTTTAAAGTGTAAAAATAATATTAATAAAAATTTATGTGTGGAAATAAATGAGAATTGGATTAAATTGTTTGAAATTAAATTATGATATAAATATTTGATACTTATTAAAAATTAAAATGAAATTTAAATTACAGACAGTCTTAAGCTTTTCTCTGGGTAATAACTAAAAAGGGCTTTTAATAAATTAATAATTTATTAAATCGCAATATCTCTCATTAGAATTGAAAGGAATGGAGGATTGAAAGGTATAATTGAATATAATGATAATATTCAACTGTAATATTAAAATATATCAGTCAGTAGCAATTGATAAAATATTTAGTCTAATAAGCTAATTATTTATAGTAATTCTAATCACACATGAAAGAATTCCATGTTATGTACATTATGTACATTATGTACTGTACATTGTTAAAAAAACACGTAGAGCAATAAAATAGAAACTAAGATGTTGTGTTTTAATACACAACATAAATATGAGTTTATAAGGTGTAGAATAATACACTTCCAAAGAAAAATAACACATCATACTGTGAAATCAATCTTTAATCAAATTTATTATGAAGAATAAATAAACAATATCAAGACTAATACATAGGAATTTAGAAACCGAACTTCATTTAATAAATATTCTATCCATAAAACACATTTAATATTAAAATTTATTCATAAATTTTATAAAAGTTTATATTAGATCTACATGAAATAATAAATTTTCGATTCTTCATAGAAGATCAGTCACTTAAACCATAAGGGATCATAAGACATCATAATATATAATAGTTTATATATTTTAAAAAGTTGAAAACATTTAAATTTAATATGAGATTTTGAATATTTATCAATGAAAGAATTTTTAAATATTTAATGTTATTTGAATAATTTTATCAATTATACTTATATCAAATTGAATTGAAAATCTCTTCACATTATATATGAAATGAAAGAGAAGAATTGAATAATGTTAGTAAATATTTACCTCATTTATGCTAGAATGAATACATTAATGCTACATTAATATATAAATACTGTAAGAAAAAATGTTTATAGCCTATAGCATTAGTAGCATTAATAATTACTCGTATATATACTGATGAGTGATGACCAGAACATCAATTAAAATAAGTTAAATTTATACTAGTAATTATGTAGTGTAGAAGAAATGCAAACACTCGTACAATTATATGCATACATATTATTGAACTAAAGTAATGTAGGAATTTTTTTAGAAAAACATTAATTTTTCTTATGTCTTATTGGCAATCCAAATACTCGTATGAGTTCGAGAACTCCAGTACGTCAAGCAACGTGTAATATACTGGTCTGTACAAGTTTATTTCACACTAGATGAGAAACTCGCCACCAGGGCCATTTAGTGCATGGTTGATCGTGCAATACTACCAATCCATTTAAATATATATTATAAGCATTAACACTCACACCATTGGAGCTGGCAGTTTTACTTTTGGCTGCATCGTTCGCCTGCTGTGCACACCCTGCAAGCACGCCTGGTCCCTTTGCAAGCCAGATAATGGCACCAGAATGTCTTAAAATCGCTACATCAATATCCTATAAAAGCTCGCAGATATTAATTGTGTTCAGAATTTCTAGGCGTATTCTTTGTTTGGAGATCGTTCAAATGCCAGGCATGCCTCCATTTGTCTCCAAACTGCAGTAAATATCTTTTCAATAGATTTAAAAATGTAACTTCTTAACATTTTTGAAAATTATTCTTTGCCTAATTGGGCATTTTTATTTAATTACGGCTTATATTTGTAGTATAAAAGGAAGAAAAAAACTTCTAGGTTATTTCCGCTTTTCTTTTTATTATTCCCAAATGAATTTCGAAGATTTTTTATTCCTCTTCAGTCATACAGAGGTAAAAATTTTGGCACGATATTTACATATTATATAAGCAGTAATATGGCCAGATTAGTTTCTACAGTGTTTTCATAGCACTCCTGGAAAGGTGGTTCTTACAAAA